TAGCTCCCAGTTTGACAAAGGACATAATACCAGGCTGAACTCAAAGCAGTTGTCAAAAATCCAGTGATTTCTGTGGCTATGCATGTACTTTGCTTAAACAGGTTCTGAGAAAAACTGAAATACCGCTATTACATTGGACTGCAGCGTACATTCCTATGGAATTCAGAGATACATGCAAGCTGCAAAAGGGATGAAAATATTTTTCCTGTGTAACTAATTTAGATGAATAGTTCTTCATCCCATTCAGTAGCTGAAATAATAAATATTGGATGTATACAAGGCTGTCAAACCAACATTTGGGAAGTAGTGGGCAAGAAAGTATTTTTATTTGGGATATATATGATGATTCAGAATAACAAAGAAATGCTGTTCTTTAACAATGAAACAAAAGCTATCATGCTTATTCCTTTCATATGACTACCTCATGATACAAAACTACCATGTGAGGAACGGTTACAGACAGTTGATGCACGTGAGAGCACATATTACAGAAATTATGGAGATTCATATTTTTCTCCTTGGTAAGAAACACGTATCAGAGAAACTGGTATTTTTTTGGAAGGTTTTGTTATACAGGAGTAACCCTGAAGGAAGTATAGTAAGATCTATAGTAAGACCTAGAATATCAGTGTTATCTAGAAATATGCTGTTCTACAATTTATTTTCACTCTGAGTTGGAACAAACCAACCTTTTTAAAAATATCTGCAAAATACTACTTATTTTCAATCATTTTGATTTCCACTTTTCAAAAACTTTATGATATATTAAAACTTAGATATTCAAAATGAAGAAATAGAAACTTGCATACTAAGAAGGGTAAAGCAACTTCTTTTGACTAAATCAAAATTATTAGCTTTGCTGTTTATAAATTAAGTTTGCAGAAGCAAGAATGTGCCTGACAAATTGGCAACCTCCAACAGGAAAATATTGTGCCAGAAAGTTACCAATCAGCTTTAATTATAATAAGTACATAGAGTATTATGGGGGGAGTGGCACCATAGTAACTTGAAAAATGCTGTCAGCTTAGTCTGGCAAGGTGTTTACAGATATTCACGTTTTATGTCTTTGTTTTGAGATTCAAGGATTAGCCAGATATAAAATCCTTTCCTTTTACAATGCTTCTAAATGTGTCCTTTACAGATATTAATAATGGGAACCCATATAATGTTTCTGTAAAGATTAAAATCAAATGCAGTTCTTTGGAAGAAATGCAAAACAGGATATTGCAACTGCATGGAAACTTTCAGAAACAGTTCTCCTTTTCCCACCCAACAGTTCTGCCTTTCATGTATTTATAGCTGATACTGTGAACAACTGCAAAGCCCTGAGGCTATATCTATCTGTTCTGCCAGACAGTACATAACAATATATAATGGACTGCAGAAGTCAAGTCATAACACCTAAAAAAGAATTTCCACTTCCTTGTCATGAACACTTTACCTACAATTAAATTAAAGTCCACATTATTCCATGTTTTCTTTCATTAAAAATACTGCACATATTCAGGATTAAATGCAGTATAATTTGAAGCATACATATACAAATCCAGCAATGCACAATTTTAATAATCTCTTGTGTTACTAATATCCAGAGTTCAAATCCTAATCCTGCTGGATGAAGTCAGTATTTTGACAACCCTACTGCATTAGGAACTTCTGATTTTTAACTCACTACTTAACCACCAAATCTCCTTTAGATAGTTTCACTTAGAAGAGTTGTTCTTTGCTCTCTTTTTTAATCACAGCAAGGTGAAAGTTTACTGGTTACGTTCAAAGGTGAATGTGTTTCAGGGGTGAGTGACTGATCTTTATAAACAGTATATTGACATTCTCTATAAAGAACCCTGGGACCTTTCAGGGCAAAGTATGTTTCTTGGATAGGAGGTGTTACCAGCTGAGTAGCGAGAAGTTAAAACTTACAGAAACATTCTTATTTTCCAAACTCTGAACTTAAAAATGACTGTAATGTATGGGATGCCCTACAACATGACTGAGACAGACAGACATACACACATAGCCATTTGCATTCACTTCTATTATTGATAATTTACAATTGCTTCAGCTGCAGCCTTCCATAATAACTGGCTGCTTGCTACGTGCTTGGGAAACTATATACTGAACAGGGTATTTTTACAACTTACTTGGGTTCCTAATTCAACTCACTATGTTAGGAGGCCCCTACACTCCCTGTAGATAACAGAGAAACAGGCTTCTTTAGGGGGAGACTTAGAAGACCCTATGGTCCCCCCTGAAAAAAAGCCTGAGTCTTTCCACTGACTCAACAGAGAGATTGGGGAGTTCTCAACTTGGATATTTAAACTGAAGTTGAAGGTTTTCAGTACACCTCTTAAATTCTTGATCTGATTGTTATAACTTATTTCTGGCGATGGACAACATTCAGATGTCTATAACACGCTGTCTTAAATGCTTTACTAGGTTTTAGCAGTTTTGAAATGCACGATCTGCCTGTAGTGTTTGCTGGTAGAAAGAAGATAACCATGAGTGACTCAATTCATTTTTTTCAAAGATATTCCAAAATATAATTATGGGCTATGTATCTGCTCTGAATAGTCTCTGACTATTTAATTATTGAGAAAATTTAATGGCAGACAGAAAGGCTTACAGAACTTGCAGGAAGAGTTCATCAGAGGAATGAGGCTCTGACAAACAACATGCTGTCCTCTACATATTACATGTACTTCTTTTCTACCAAATCTGACAGATGCATTTTCTTGGTTTTTTTGGTGCAGAGTGGAATGGAAAAGTTGTGTGAAGTTTACAATGGAGAATATAAAGGCTATTCTATTAGACAGGTAGAAGTGATATATAAAGGCACGAAGGTGGAGAGACTGAGAAAAGCTATCATACTGATAATACCATTCTGCAATTTCTTTTACCAGTTGGAGATTTCAGTCTCAAAAAACTCCCAGAAATTAGGCAAAATAAACAGACAGTACTGCCTTTCCTAACATTGCCTAACAAAAACATTGCATACCCAGCACTATCCTTCAGCACAATTACCCATGCCTTTACAACCCCACTGGAGACCCCTCAGTACCCCTGGAGACCACTCAGAAGCTTCTGCAAAATATGGCTGCCCACTTGTCCAGTGTTGAGACCAGCATCCTACTAATTTTCAAGAGCAATTCAAGGTGTCGATTTTAATAATCAAATAGAGTATGCTTTATACAATCCATTCCTAAATGACTATTCTTTCTTACAGGGGCTGTAATGTCCGTAAATTTGTAAAGTGCTTTGAAATTTTTTAATATGACTGGTGCTATCAAAAACCAAGGTAGCATTACATTATTATCAGCTATTTAATTGAGAAAAGTGTAAAACCAATGCATTTTCTAAATATCTGAGCCATCAGACAACAGGTAAAACCATCTTATCATTGTTCATATTTACTCATGAAAAATACATACCTGAAAAGGCAAAGAATTATACTTCCTGTTGTAAGAGCAATCAGAGATACACTGTGTCCAAGGGTATAAATTGCCTTCACTCTTACATAGAAGTTGACCTGCACAGAAAAATATATATGCAGAAATCACTTACTCATATGTAAAATTGACTGTGAAATGATATAATTTTCCATTAAACAGCTCTGAAGGCTAAATAAATAGCATTATTTTGATTCTTTACTCTACAGTATGTGATGAGAATGTTATACCTTTATTCCAACATATTTTTGCAAGGCAACATCTCAAGCCAATTGACCTCAGTAGAAAATTCAGCCTCAGGAACTCAAAACTTAGACACACAAGCTGGTACAATTTCAGCTGATTATTCCATGTCAAATGAGGTCAAAGAAAATATCAGATTCATCAACTTCCATAAACACAATCAAACTGGGAAGAATGAGCCACAGTTTGAAAGAATGGATTATCTCTGAGAGAGAGAGAATCTCTCTCAGTCCTTCTGCTCTAGTGTACTTCGTAATGCATTTATACATGAGTTTAATTTTAAGACATGTTTAAGTCTCATTAATTTCCTAATCTAAATGCTCAAATACTTTATTAAATTGTGACCCAAACAACCCTTTCTCTCTTCAGTAAAGTTATTTGCTAAAACTTGGAAAGCAAATTTTTCAACAGAGGAAAAGCAGACTGAAGTACAGAGTCCGCTGATTAACTGCAATCATCCATAAATTTACCAGCTACATATTACATTAAATCTGAATTCTGAATGACAACATCAAGAAAAATAATGCTAAATACTATCAGAATTAAGCTGCTTCTTCATTTATGCCTACAACAAAGTCATTAGGCTGACATTTTCCACTGAAGCTAGATAAAATATTAAAATTGTAAAGTTTTTTACTATGTTATGAAATTAAAGTTTTTAATAGCAGTGTAGAATGTGCTATGTATAACAGACAGAATTTCAGTATTTAGTGCACAAGGTTATATCACTCACCTTCTCAAACAATGTTTGTAGAAAGTAGCAAGGAAACAATACTTTTAAATAAACTAAGATAGCAAAAGGAAAAGCAAATCACTTAATATATTTATTTTCATAGCATTTAAAAGGCCAAGTAAAGAGGTAACTTTAGCAATCCCAATTAATGATGAAATTAGCTGGACAACCACTTAGCAAATATTATACAGGTATGGAAAAGACTAAATGAAATGTTAAATTAAATGAAGAATCTTGAAACTGCACTATTGTAGATATGGTTAAAGGGGAAAAATAAGGGAAACATAACTGCCATAGATCTTAAGTGTATTCATAGCAACTGTCATGCTTGTTAGGAGCTAAAAGTGGTATACAAGGTGTCACAGGAAACAGAAATCTCTTTTTTTAATTAGAGAAGTAAGTTGTGATGGCCTTTCTGACAACAGTCCTGACATTTTAATATTTTGTTTGCTTTATATGATATTCATTTACCGCAGAGATAAAGCAGGAAAATATGGACTTAATGAACCTTCCAGTGACATTAGAATGACCATAAGAAAGTCCCTCAGTTAAAATCCTGAATAAATATTGCCTTTTTTTTTTTTTTTTTTTTAAATTGGTGTCCCTGGGTGGTTAAAATGGTAAAAACTAAAGTATTACTGTATTGGTCTCTATAGAGTCTGCTGTATATTTGCTGAGCCCCACTGCATTCCTAGGGATTCTCTGTGAGAGTAAATTGTAGGTTCTATTTCATCTAGTGTTAGGTGTCTACACTGCAAATATAAACATCTAAGGCAATGTAGGGTCTCTTCATAAGGCCTTCTAGGAAGCACTTCTTGTATATATATAAGCAGTCAACATGGACTTCATTGGATATATTTCTACAGGCAATGAAGAGGCCCCACAGTGACTAATTCAAGTGTAGCTACCCAGAGTGTACAAATGCTGCACTTAGATGGATGCCCCAAAAAGATTCTGGTTTTCCAGTTGAATCCTGTGTTTGCTAAATAGGACTCTAAGTAGTCCAATGTTTCTTGAACAATGTTTCTAAAACTGTTTTCAAATACAATTCTAAAAATATTTTTTTCAAAATTAACATAATTTCACATAAAATCAGTTCTGAAGAACTGCCCTTTAATTCCCTCCTAGAATGGTAGAATTATACTCCCCAGTTTGGCTCATTTTTGGACAGCTCTAAAAACTATGCCTACAGACAAGCACTGCCGAACATCCCTATGCTTCTTTAATTTGGCTTCTGTCATACCAAAAGGAACATCAGCCAGTCTCCAGGCAATTTTCTGGGAATAGAGTGATAAACAGTTTCTCAACAGCAATTACAACAGCCCATGGCACCAAGAACACTGCAAATACTTTGGACACCCTCCTTCGTTCATTCAACCTGACTTGCTCTGCAAAATCATGGAAAAAGGATGCTCCGATAAATGACTTAACAATTTGGCAGCCTTATGTCCCCATCATTAGTATTCTGGAAGAAAATGAATTTTATTTCCTGACCTTGTGCACATCGGGAGTTGCAAATATAGTGTAAAGCTTAGAAGTGATCCACAGCAGTTCCACAGTATGTTCTATTTGTTATCAACTTGTTGGCATTTGCAGACCCCACTAAAACACATTTCTGCTGAGTGTACAAATAGAAGCCTGAACGGTCTCTAAATCAAAAATTCTTAACATCCACCATGTAAATTGGAGGGAGATAAATGTCATTTGCAAAAGAAATGACAATGAATCTGCGTTGTTTAAATACTGAGTGGAAGTTTTCCTGTTCATGTTCACAGAAAAAAAATTATTAGCAGAGATACCCTTTTAACAGTAACAGTGATAATCAACAACACATTACCGCAGAGCAGAGACAGGGGTCTCCCCAGGTATGCTAAAGCCATGCACACAACACCTGGTAAGAGTGCACACAGGGACAACTTTACACAACTTGGGAACTACCAAGTAGCTTAACAAATCCTAACACGTTAAAGTAAACACTGGCCTCCTGTAATTTGTATTTGTTAATAACCTTCAAAAGGAAAGACTTAAACCAGGACTTTTGATGTAAATTGCGTCCTGGCCCTTCACAGTGCCCAGTAGAAACTACTTCTTCCCTCCTATTCAGGTTTCTCATTGTGCTCAAAAATCTTAAAGCAGCTGTAAGGTCCCTTTCTGCTGCTGAGCAGCCAAAGTGTGCTATGAGTTGGTATAAAATCTGCTCCAAAGACAGCCTTAGGTTTGCCTTCAGAGCAGAAATAACTCTGAGACAACAAGTGTGTGAGTTTGACGCATGCCAACTCATGCATTTGCTGTTAAACAGATGACTAAAGTGACCCAACTGTATAATTTTCTGTAAGTACCATGGTCTCTATACTCCAGACTTAAGATTAGTTCCCTCTGGCTAGAAATTAAACTTCCTCCTGTCACCTCCTTGCTTCATTCAAAAACTCTCTTGTGCTGACTTTCTCACTGCTGACATCTGGGTGAGGCCTTTGTACTGGTTTTGGCTGGGATAGAGTTGATTTTCTTCATAGCAGCTTGTAGGATTTGTGCTGAAAACAGTGTTGATAACACAGGGATGTTTTAGATATTGCTGAGCAGTGCTTACACAGAGTCAAGGCCTTTTCTGCTTCTCATGCTGCCCTGAGAGTGAGGAGGCTGGGGGTGCACAAGAAGTTGGGAGAGGGCACAGCTGGGACAGCTGACCCCAACTGACCAAAGGGATATCCCATACCATAAGACGCTGTGCTCAGCAATGCTAAGCATTGCTGGGGGAAGGAGGAGGAAGGGGGGGACATTCGGAGTGATGCGTTTGTCTTCCCAAGTCACCGTTATGCGTGATGGAGCCCTGCTTTCCTGGAGATGGCTAACCCTGCCTGCCGATGGGAAGCAGTGAATGAATTCCTTGTTTTGCTTTGCTTGTGCGTGCGGCTTTTGCTTTACCTGTTAAACTGTCTTTATGTGAACCCACAAGTTTTCTCACTTTTACCCTTCCGATTCTCTCCCTCAACCCACTGTGGGGGAGTGAGAGAGCGACTGTGTGAGGCTGAGCTGCTGGCCGGGGCTAACCCACAACAGCCTTGAATCCCTTTTTCTGCAGATCTTGTAAAGAACTCTGCACACATATGATACACAGGAATTATTAGGAAGCTGACAGTACTAGAAACATTGTTATTTTGATGCAGGGATCCCTAAAAATATTTGAGTTAATAAAATACATTTAGCTTGCAATAAAGATATTAGCAACTTTGATTATATAACTCTGTTGCTAGTTATTACTTATCCCATATTTACATGAGAGATCAAGAAGTCTGGCAACTATAAGAAGTAATTTCAACTTGCACGTTTCCTTTCAACAATAGAAAGTAGCTATTCTTGAACACGCTTGACATTTTTGAGAACTCATTACTCAAGTCCTTGGCTTCTACCTGAATATACTGAATATAACATTAGTTTCTTAAAAATGAGTCATAACATCCTTTACTATTAATTCATGCAAAGGGTTTCTGTATCTACTGCAGGGAGTGGATTTCAAAGACTGTACTATGGCAATATGTCTTTATTGTTCTGAGTGACTAATCCAGGCTGTACAACATCTACAAACGCAAACATACTGCACATCTTACTATCACATATAATGATTCAGTTAAGCTCTATCAGCACCTTTACATTTAATATCTTAAATGTCTTAAATCACAGTCAGGCAAAAGTCTGCATTCTGCTCATCAGTATAGAACACCTCAACTCGTTGATATTCATTCTTTCCTTTCAAATACATAAAGGAAAACCAAATAGAGAATAACATAATTCTAGCTATAAAATATCTAAGCAATAAAACCCCATTATCAAATTGCCTTTTTTTTGCTGGCCAGAGTAAATAAAGTGAAGTTACAAACTCACTACACTGAAATGAACATGCCAGATTTAGACCAGCTGATTTCAGATCAGTACATGGAGATAAGAACAGCTTTGCTGGCTATCATGGATGATAACTTATTACCAAGTAAGAGAGGACAGAGATATGTTCTTATCTGCCAAGATCCCACTTGCAACATTTTACACTACCAAAAGGTTTGCCCAACTTTTCTGACTTTCACAGCAACAGGTATACTAGCTCCCCTCCTT